GGAACCGGTTTCAGATAAAATATTTTCTTGATAATTTTGACCCCCACCATTTTTAGATTTAAAAGGAAATTTTTTTTCATGAAAAATTGCGTCACCTGATTCAAAAATTATTTTGTTTTCCATATCAAAAAATCTATAGGCTGTACTATTTGTTGCATATCCAAGAAAAGCACAAGTGGCAACTTTCACACCTAATTTAGGTCTTTTAGGGTCCACAAGTCTAACAAAAGCTAGACAACCCCAAACCCTCAAATATCTCAAATTTGGCTTATGCTCCTTCCACAACTCAAAAGGTGTAACTTTTGTTTTTTTATGTGGCATTCTATTCATAACATAACATGCAGTTAAAATTGCTTCTCCGCATAAATTTGAAGGAGCACCTGCTTCAATTAGCATAACATTTGTTAAATCAGTTAAAGTTCTGTTTTTCCTTTCTGCTGCACCATTAGATGCAGGTGAATATGGTGGAGTAGTTTTATGGATTATTCCCAAAGACTGAGCAAACGAGTTGAATTCAAAAGATTCATATTCCCGACCTCTATCACTTCTATATCTTTTAATCTTTTTATTGAATTGATTTTCAACTTCAAGAAGGAATTCTTTAAAATTTTCAAAAGTATCACTTTTATTTTTCAACAAGTATACATAAGTGTATTTTGAAAAATAATCAATAAAAGTGATAAAATATCTATTTCCACCACGTGTTAAAATTTCTTCAAATTCACATAAATCAGTGTGAATTAATTCTAACAATTCAGTATTTCTCACCATACTTTTATGAGGCCTTATAGTTATTTTTGCTTGACTGCAAACTTCACATTTCTCAAACTTATTTGTTAGTCTGGGAATTAATCCTAAACTACTCATGACTACCACATATCGGCTATTAATATGACACAGACGAGCATGCCAAAAATTCATAGAAGACAGCATGTAAACAGAAACATGTGCTTTATTATTCTGAACAATTAATTTAAATATTCCATCACATGCACACCCTTTCCCCACAAATATGCCTTTTTTAGTGATTACATATTGGTCAGATTCAATAGTCTGCTTGAAACCAGCTTTGTTGAGCAAATAACTTGACATCAAATTTTTCTTCATGGACGGTGTATACAACACATCTTTTTAAACAAGCACACATCCAGAGGTAAAATTCAGCTCAACATCCTCATACCCGAGCACCTTGGTTAAACTGGAGTCACCAAGCATAACAGTTCTCTCCTCATTAAAATGAGTGAAATCTTTGAAGCAACCTTTATCATAGCAGACATGCCTATTGGCACCAGAGTCTGCCCACCACCCTTCCATAGATTGAACCATAAAAATATCTATAATCATTGCCACAAATGGTTCCTCGGTAACATTAGCCTGTGGTTGAGACTGTTGTTTTCGAAATTTGAAAGTTCGAGCAATATGCCCACTTTTGCCACACACAAAACATGTCACATTTGTCAGATCTTGTGAAAGGGGTTCTTGGTTCCATTTCTTTTGCCTCGGGTAATTTTTATTTTGTGGCCTTCCAGTATTTTTTCAGATTTTCTTAACTGGTTTCAAGTGACTGTTTTTATGAAATCGACCTTTAGGTAAAGTATTTCCAGAAGTTAAATTTACCTTTGCAGTGGAATGCTCTTGTGTCATAAGGGCATCTTGTCCTTGTGCTTCATCCTCTACTCGAATCCGTGTGATTAGAGTCTCCAAGGACGTCTCTTTTTTCTTGTGAAGCATTGACATCTGGAACTCCCTCCAAGATGATCGTAGTTTGTCAACAATACTTGCTACAACAAGATTGTCTCCAATTTTGATGCCTTCGGATCTAACTTCAGCCACTAGCATCTGGAAATCTTGAACTTGCTCCACCACTAATTTTTCATCTATCATCTGATAGCGGAAAAAATGGCTTGCAACATATTTTTTAGCGCCTGCCTCTTCAGTGTCATATTTATTCTGCAAGGCTTTCCAAATTTTCTTAGCAGTGGTGTAAGTAGTATCATAATAATCATAAAATTGATCCGAAAGACAATTCAAAAGATAATACTGACATTTATACTCATCTGGGTTGTATTTCTCGATTTTTTCAAGATGAGCTGCATACTCCTCGTCGGTCATCTCTTCAGTGGGGACCTTGTTCGGATTTTTCTCAGTCAGGATATAGGCTACCTTAAGGAGACTGAAGTAGAAAAGCACCTTGCCTTTCCATATCTTGAAATGGGCTCCCTTGAACCGGAAGGGCTTGTTGAGATCGCCGGTATTCTCGTTGGGTTTCTCCAGTCCTGGCTCCATAACATTTTGTTATTTGAATCTCCTTAAAATTGTTGGTGATAATTACAAATAAAACACCAGAAAATACAAATAATAAAAGTTACAATAACTATTATAAGGGCTGAGGCGCGGAAAATTCGCTCTCTTTAAGGAGATTCAAGCCCTCTGCGGTTAGGCAAAGCCTCACACCGGTGCAGCAGAAAAAACCTTAACTTGTCCCCTCCAGGATATAACAGCCCGACTAAGTCATATGGTTCACCAATACTGCATAATTGGTTGAACCCAAAGCTTTATCACATACACCCTTTTTTATTTTCCTGATAATCTCACACAAGACATAATAAAGCAATCAAAACTTCTTCACCCCACCAAGATAAGAAGATAGCTCAATATATATAGGAGAGAAAGCTTGGAGGGTTATTCTTGGTGGATAAGAAAGGAAAGGAAATTGGTGGGCAATTTTCTTGGAAGATTTGCAGACTTTATGGATAAGAATAGGATGAAGACTTGACTTGACTTGACGGATGGAGACTTGACTTGACTTGGCGAAGACTTAGAAAAGAAGACTTGAAGGATTCTTGGAGGAAAAGAAAACAAATCAAACCAATAACACATTATAATATTAAAATATCTGCTAACATTGAATATCATGAAAGCCATCCAATTTTATTTGAGTATAATTCGGAGATTGACAAGTGGCGATCTATAGAAGCAAAAGAAATGTTCGGAATTTTCCATGTGTTAATGAAATAGGGGGTGACTATATTTTCCTTAGTGTCATTAATGGAATGAGTGGAAGTGTCCTTATTGCCCTTGGATCCGAAGGTGATGACGACCTGGTGGTTATACGACCGAGATTTCATAGGGGAGCGGAAGAGCAACGATTGGCTATAGGATTCAGTTAGAGGAACGTATTTGACCAATTACATGTGTACGGTGATGGAAATATGATGATTCTTAGATCAGATGATGTCGACGATACGAGTAAAAGGAGAAGGATGTTAGAAATTGTAGAACTGTGGGGGTTGAGCTCAAATGGTATGTCTTGGGAATTCATATCAATGGTACCAAGTGGGCTAATTGGGAGGATTAAGAAGCCTTATGGGGTTATAATTGGGTGTATAGAGGAAAGGCAAGGAACATTTAGAGCTGTCTTGATGTCCAACTTTGAGGGCATTTGGGACATAATTTGGCTATGGTATGATATCAAGTGAAAGCATTGGACTTGGGTCCCACTCCCTGATTGCAAGAAGAGGGGTTTGAACATGGCTGGCATTGCCTTCTCTTCTGGCCTCACCTTGTCTTGATTGCTTTCAAATGTTTTTTTGTTCTTTTTTTTTTTTTCAAAGCAAAAACATCCTGGCGTAAACATATAGGCCTCGTTTGGGAAGTGGCTATTTTAGTAGGCTATTTGATTTTTTGGCTATTTTAATAGGCTATTTTAGTTTTTGTGTTTGGGAAGATGAGATGAATTTTTAGTTGAGTTGTTGTATTGGAAAGTGTGTTAAAATGATGTTTGAATTTAAAATGACAAATTTGTCCTTGAATTATAATTTTTTAAAATGATGTGAAGAGGTAAAATGGTAATTTAGCCGTTGATGATGACATGTGAGGCTGTGACAGTGTAGGCTGTGCCTACACTGTCCGGGCAGCAGCCTTGTTTTTTTTTTTTTTTTTGAAAATTTTTTTTTTTTTTGAAAACCTGTGAACAATGTTGCTTTTGGGCTTTTTTCTCAAATGAGGTTCTAATAGCCTCATTTCCGGCTTCCCAAACGCCATAGAATAATGTTACGCCTCATAAAAACTTTTGAGGAAGATAGTCATAAAGATTATTCACTATTAGATTAGTTTATAATATTTTATTATATGTTATATAATTCGGTGGTACTATATGTACTAATTTGTGTACACACTGGTGTATCAATTAGTATTATGATA